ATAGGGGGGGGGGGGGGGGGGGGTATAAATTTGATATATAATCAAATTAAAAGTAGACATGTATCTGTTCTAGTAGGTCTAGTTCAGCATTGCTGATGTTTATGAGCACCTATGAGGTTTAGACATGAAGTTATGCTTCAGTAGCCCAGGGGACAAGATCGAAGTGGACACTAAGAAAGGGAAGGATGTGCTTCACAGCATAAAATTAATGAGGAAATCTGATCCACTAGTCCTAGGCCTGTAAAGGTCATGTGAAATCTGTAAACGATTTATTGGTTTAAATAAATTATTAACATGTGGCTTACTGGTAAAACTCTCGTTCTTAAATACATATTCACCTGCATAAAAAAGGATGCATGTTTGTCATGTGGTTTTGGGTTGTTGACTGCGAGGAGGCCTTGTACACCTGCGGTTGCCAAGCAAATAGATTTTTATAGAAATTTGTTTTCGCTATGTTTTGAAAAGAAAAAAAAAATTGTTAAAAATTGGCTAAAGGTTTTTTGATTGTTTGTTATTTTGTTGTTTTTACGGTTAAAGCAAAAAAAAAGTAAAGGGAAATATATATATCACATTAATACATTTTTATATATTTTTTATAGAATAGAAAATGAATATAAGCATTTCAGTAACAAAATGATAAGAGACTATTCTGAGTAAGTAAAGAGTAAAAAAATGTGTCTAAAATGTCTGAAAATGACAGTGGAATGCTGCACACACTTAGACTTTCAAGGTTTGCAAAATAATATTTTTTATGTATTATATATTTTATCATCATGATTATCATATTCGATCTGTTGGAACAACTAAAATCAATGTTAATGATTAATATTTCATGCTAAACAATTCATTTCAAATTCCCAAATAGCACCTATATTGTTGCTGAATTGCTTGTTTTCACTGCTATTATAGATAGATAGATAGATAGATAGATAGATAGATAGAGATTTTTTCCACAGTACTCATAAAAATTACCATGTAACTATGCTTGTTCTTTTCCCTTTATGCTAAACCAGGCCCCCAGCAGATGATGCATATGACTTCCCTGTAATAGTGGGATTAAACCCACTATTAAACCATCCCCTCATCAGGGTCCCGTGTTTAACAAAATAGATGTTAGATGAGGTGACCTGCCTCAAATCACCCCGCTCTGTGTCATAATGTATCCTGCGCTCTGCGCCAGCCACATCACCAGAGGCAGCGCAGAATAATTAAGAGGACTCGTATATGGATCATGGAAAGTGATAACAAGCGGGCTTGTGTGATCTTTAATGTGCCGTAGACACTTATCCTCGCTGTATCTCTAATGGCTCATTACACTGTCCTCTTTTCCTCCCTCGTCCCTCGTCTTTCTCTCTCCATTCCCTCCCTCAGTGTCTCGTATGAATTTTGTGCCCATCGAGAGCTGCATGCCAAGAGTTTGCCAATTTCTCAATTTTTTGTCCCCCACCCTCAACATTACAGCTGTTAAGAGGTGTATCCCACCTACTCTTTCTCTCTCTCTTGCTGTCTCCTTCTCTCCTGCCCTGTCTCCTCACTCTGTCCTTATTAAATCTGGAGGATCTAATCACGCCCTCCATCCATAGTTCTGGATAATGGTCACTGTGATGGATGTGATGAGTTTTAATAGGACATGGCCATACTTTAGGATTCATAAAAAACTGCCCTTTTCCTATTCTGCTTGTATTCATTTGGATTAATCCATAGGTTAAATGTCTAAGTTAAGCAGTGAAATAAATAGGCTGAATGATGTCCTTTCATTCAGTGTTGTTTTTTTGTTTTTCTCACTAATGCATATTTGAAGGCATGGTTTTGGTCAGGCTTTCATTACAGCTAATATAATCTGTGCTTTTCAAAGTTTAAGTATATCTGTGATCCTAAAATATTTGCCCAAGTTCAGTTATGATGAACTCTTTCATCCACTGGCACCAAACGCCCTTTTATTTAGGCAGCTTTGATCAACAGTGAGAATGTGATTTTATGCTCCATGTTTTTCTAATTCGAGATTATGCTCTATTACAGACGACCCCACTCAACTCCCTGTTCTGTGATTTTACAGTGACAGCAATTGTGCAAATTATCCTTTCTGCACTACAATGTGCATGAGCTTTGCTCTGGTGAGAAAAGAGCTCCTGTCTGAGGGTGGTCCGCTGCGAGACTTCACTGTGATCTGACTCTCCGCCCCACCTTGCTTGGGGCTCACGAGGTTAATTGATCAGTGTGGGGCTGGTGACGGGATGAGTGCGGGGTCAGCATCTGTATTGACTGGACAGACTGATTAACAAGCACTAAAATGCTCCTGGCCCCCGCTTTGAGAACGTTTGGTAGGTCGTCGTCAATTATCCCCTGCCAGCCTCCATCAGGGGGAACTGACAACCTTTGCTCTCTCTTCATTTTGTAGCTGTGCTGTGCAGAAACTGCGGTTTTGCAAAATGCATGTGGACAACTCTAATTACTCCGTATTGATTGCTCTTAGCAGACAGCCAAAGGGTTACACACTGAATCTAACAAACATTTCATATTGGATATTTCATACACATTGCATGATGGGTATATTGATCATCTGAAAAAAATTAATCTTCTGATGTTGTGACAATGAGCACATTTACATGTATAACAAAACACTGTTTACTATCAGAAAATGGGCTCATTATGAGAACCTTCTTTTTTAAATTACATTCAAATCAATAAATCAATATTTTAATTGATGACCATTCAATAGTAACCTTATATTCTGAGTTCTGACTAAATAACTTTTTTTTTTGTAATATTGCCAAAGTGATTTTTGTTTTGGAGGACAGAGCTAACAATTCAGTTTTGGAGGACAAAGTCATTGGAATGAAAGGGGAATGCTAACAAATTTCAGGTTTCTTCATTTTAGTAAAGACCTCATTGTTGAAAACCTGATGTAAATAGACATATACATTAGCTTAACTGTTTTTGCAAAGAAAAGTGTGGACAACGTACACAAATCTAGGCATTGATCTAATGTTAAAAGAGCATAATTTAAGTTGTTTAGATTTATTTTTGTCAGCTTATTGAGCATAATCAGTGTAAACCATGCAGTGTGCTGTAGTATTAGTATCAAATAAAATAAAGCAAAAAAGTGTATGAGCCATTGATTTTTTTTTTTAAACTTTCAGTTGTTCAGAGCTCACAAGACCGCTGTCATCTGTCTATGTAGTATTTATTTTGTATTTTATTCAGTGCATTATTTTACTGTTCTGAAGCACAACAGATAAAAGCAGAACTTTGTTGAAGTTGATTTTTTTCTGCAAATTGCATTACTTGTTGCAGCTTTGTATTTTCAGACCTACCATTAAAAGACCCCAGAGAATGAGTCTCTGGATGAACTCAGATGAAATATCTGTTCATTACAGTAGATTCATGAAAGTGAAGATGAAAGCAACGTGTGACCATAGGAATCCATAAATAATTTCATCTTTAGCTAAAAAGCATCTTCATCTCCACTTAAATATAAATATTAAGTTAGGAAGGTATTAGTTTCTTGCTGACGTAATAATGATTGGTTCAGTCTAATAGGGCTATTTTCAAGTTCAGATCAAACCTTCTTCAATTATGTGTGTAAACATTCAGTCAAGCATCAGTGGTGGTGGTTTCTATGTGCAATGCATACTGTGAAATATTTAGAATAACAGGAAAAAGCATTTAATGTTGTGCGTTTCACATTATTATCTCCTTACTGAAGCAGTTTACAGACCTCCTTTAGGGGCTCCAAAGTGACTTCAGCTTGCTGCTGAGCAGCAGATAACGTGTTTCTATAGTAACTTTTGTGAGATTAACCTCTTGAGCTTGCTTCCTATTCACAATTTCATCAATTCCCATACATAAGGCATCCAAGCAATCATCAGATGTTGCACTTATTCTCTGAATTCTGACCTGAACCCTCTACGTCCTGTAATTTCATTTAGTGTTACATGTAGATGTCGGTCTATATTCAGTATCAAAAGAGGATTTTGAGTGTAGCTACAGTGGAAGAGAACGGGCCTGCAGGGGATTATGGGTAATGCCAGGAGTGAATGCACGAAAGCTCTCAAGATCACATTTTCTTTGATGGCCTTTTAGATATCTGATATTTCTCGTGACGCACACCAGACACCTGACTGGCACCACCTCATAGGAGTCGGAGCGCTAATTTCCCCTTGCTGTCAAACTCTATGCCCTAACTGATATTCACCATCACCTCTCTCATTTTTCTGTGCAGAGTGCAGATGCCAAGCTGCAATAGAGGATGATTGACAGAAGGCAAACCTGAAACGGGTGTCAGTCAACATCCAGCCAGAGAGTCGATTCATCAGAGTGTCAGAAGCATTGCTCTCTCTCCAGCCCGACCGATCACTTCATCTCTGCCTCCACTTCTCTTATCTCTGCTGGCACCCCGACCCTGCCCCTTCCCAGCGGACACAATAAAGACCAGAGGTGGAGATAGAAGAATCGGGCTTGACGACCTTTCAGTGACCAAAGCGAAGCTGGTATGCTGCTGCCCCTCTTCTGTCCCATGTTCAGCAAAAGTTGGATTATTTTGTAAACCAGACCCAGATCTTCCTCTCCATTCCCTCTTTCTCTATCTCTCCTTCTCTCGTGCATCTTTGAGAGGACGGGAGCAGACGGATACTTTACATCACAGTGAATAGTCTATTAGAGGGGCGGCCCAAATAAAGGAAGCAGCCATGCATTTCCCGCTGCTCTTGACACTGCAGGCATCATGGCTGACTGTTTGTCAGGCCACGCAGCACTATCCCACAACCTGGGGACACTACGACTTGTGCAAGTCACATGGCTACACGGACGAAGGCCCGACCTGGTATTACATGGCCTGTCAGCCTGAAGCCGCGGACATGACCAAGTACCTAAAAGTGTTTCTTGACCCACCCAACATCACCTGTGGAGACCCACCAGAGACCTACTGCACCCTGGTGAGTGAGTGAATGAATCATATGATTTCACCCACAGTGTACTTACTACTTCTTGTGGCTTCATCTTATTTTATATCATTTATTAATGTGCTTCACATTTGATATGCAAATATATTCATGGTGCCACATGCACACTATAACTGAGGCTAAACAGTTTTGAGGATGTGGGATGGATCTGTGTAATCTACAACCGGTAGCAACGAAGATGCTTACAAATAACTGACAAAGTAAATTTCATTCATTTATGCCATTAAAACTGCTAATAAGGAGTAGTGCAGCTGAAACCTCAGTTAACGCCACATTTGTGTCGGTGTAAATGGTGTCCACTTCCTGTGCCGGGTCATTGACTGTTTCAATTTATATGGTTAATTATCTCGTTTCAGCTTTGGTGGAAGCCTTCATTAGGTCTTTGTGGACAAAATGCTGTCTGTCATTAGCATTGAAAATGAGAACTAGAAAAGAGTTAGAAGTAGACGAAGAGAGAGAGAGATGGATAAAAGACGCACTTAAAAAATATGGCTTGCTTTGAGGAGGTGAGCTGTATGTATTTTATGGACAAGTCTAAGTGTTTAATTCGAAAAATGTCATTTGTGCATTTACACACGTTTCTTTGAAACTCACAGCTGGCCTGCAGTATTAGAAATTAGTTAATGGTTATCAGTGGCTATGTTTACATGGACATCAGTAATCTAATTATTTACCTTATTCTAAATAAGCTAATATTATGATTATGGTGTTTACATGAGTTGCTTTTAGAATATTCCTTTCATGTTCCCGTTTTACATGTTATAGTACATAGTTCGATTAATGGCACACGTCATTACGCCCCCACGTGACAACATCCGACGTCCCCTCCGGAATTTCACGCATAAATATATAAGTTCGTCTTCGTGATAATGCCATGTACAGTTTTGGGTGTTTAATTTTTAATTTTATGAATGCGGCGAAAAGTCCTACACGATGGTAATAATGTGATTAAGGTGTTTACATGTCTATTCTGCACATCAGTATTGTGACTAAAATAGGAATACTCCACATGTCTTAATTCAATTAGTGTTTACTTCGATTATGACTTTAACCGGATTAAGGTAATCAGAAATTCTTAATCAGAGTATTGTCTTAATCGTATTAAAATCGAAGTATTGTTGTCCATGTAAACGTACTCAGTGTTACATTTGCTTGTCTGTATGTGTGTTTTGGAAGACTCTATGCGTATTATCTGAAGTTTTACTACAGGTTCAGAGAGCGAGTGAGAGGCTGTTTACAGTATTTAAGAGGTGAAAATAACGAGTGTTGTGGGACAGTACAATGAGAGTCCGCTGAGTGACAGAGGACCTAATATCTGGCGTGCAGGGAGTGAAAAGTGAATTATTCAGTATGTTTTGTCGCTAATGTGTTTTATTCATAGGATACATTATTCAGAGCCATATCTGGGAGGCACTTTTGAAAATGCTGACTCTCTCTGATAGATTCTCAAGGTTAGAGCAAGGGCTGTTATCCATTTTGGAGGGTCACTGTCACAATATAGCTTGGCTCTCTGGTTTCCCAAGGGCCCGGAGTGAAAAAAAATTGACAGATAATTTCACCCCAGCACACCAGTCGGTTATTATTGCAATAACAGATGACTGACAAACAGCATGCACTGTGGTCATGCCTTCCTTCATTCCTGGCCCCAATATTACTTTGTACTTATAAAATGTCTGTGGCAGTTATAATAGAAATATAGTTCCTAGGTGTGACAAACCTGTTTTAACAGTCGAGTAGACTCTTAGGCCAAGTTTACATAAAATATTTATTGTAAAACATTTCTGGTATCACTAGGTGATCAGGCCCCCTTGTTGTCAAGCAACATAAATTGCCATTGTCCAGCCTTGAAACCCACTTGGTTTTCTGCCTGTGCATCGAGGCCGATCAATTTCTGAGCTGTTAGCCATAAATTGGCAGCAGATATTACATAGATATACTGATTATGCCAATAACAGTTTTTATGATGTCTGTAATCATTCTTTTATTTCCGGCTATTGCCATTAGTGTTCTTTATACAAGAGCTCAATCCTCCGTAATTGATTTCTACTCAGGCTGGCCATGGGCTTCTCTCTCTCCCTCTCTGAGGCTGTTGGGCTGTTTCCTCTGATTAGACCCGTAACAGCCATCGCAGGCAGACAGCGAACCCGCTCTGGGCTTGAAAAAACCAAGCACTGGAGAGACCGATGCTTTACCCTGCAATCTGAAGTGCAGGAAGCTGGACAGATCCATTTGTGAAAAGCTTTTATACTGCTATGAGTGATGACCTTCTCTATGGCAAAAACTTGACCCTCATGCCCTACACCACATAAAAACGTCTGCTCAGACGCTCTTTAAGCGGAATCTGTGCTGTAGACAGTGCTATTTGTCTCTGAATGTTTTGTGCTTTTGTTGTCCAAAATTGTGGTTAATGCAAAACAGACTTGGACAGACTTGGATAACATGTCATGGCAAGTCAGTTGAGGACGTATACCACACTTTGTGCACACTAACTAGTGGGGTGGTAGTTGGTTCTCTGTTTACACCAGAACACCTCATACTGCTCACAATCTGTATGTCTTATTCTCTTTCTCAACATCTCAAAATTTTAAAGGAAATCTCTCTAGCATTTCATAATAAATGCTCACCACCTGAAGCTTTTGGCCCTTTGAGCGTATCCAAAAATTTGCCCTTGTATTTAACCTCTGGAAATTCTCTCATGTTACACTTCTGCCCAGGTCTCTTCGCTGGCTGCCAGTAATTGCTAGAATAAATGTAAGACCTGCCTAAAATGCTGCTTTGGTCTGTGCCGCCCCTATCTTTAGACTTAAATCAAACGGCTCCAGCCTGGTCACTGCTATCAGCCATTTCTGTCACCTTGCTTCCCAATGTCTCCATGTTCACACTCATCATGCTCTGAATTTTTTTCCACACTTGCCCCTCGATATTGGATTTGAACTCTCTAGCTTCCAATGCAGCCAGTTAGAGTTAAAAAAAGACCTCATGCATCACTATAAAGGACCATTGAAACAAATTCGGCAATGGTTTTCAGATTTACAGTTATATAATTCAAACAGCTTGTTCATCAGTCTTGTGGCTTGACACGATTCAGAGAGAGACACTCCTCACTAATGCAACAGCCTCAGAAGACATCTCCTTTCATCATGTGATATTATACGTCCTAGAAAGAAGAACTGAATGACAGAGAGCTGTTTTTAATAAGGAAAATGAAACAATTACACAGTTACAGAAAGAAAACTAGATTGTGGTTAAAAAATCATAATGGCTTTCAGCTAAAGATTGTCCCATTGCAGCATTACTCAAGTTTTCATTATTCTATAAAGTGACACCGCTTATTTATGTTTTGATATATAATTCTGACCTTTTCCTGCATATTTCTGCGTGATATTGCAGAGCTCAGGGAGTGATGGAAGACATTTTGGTTCATCAGCCTTCTCTCAGAGCGGTGCCATTCCTCAAGTGGCTTAGCATTGACATTTCAGTGAGATTTGAGTGTGCTGTCAGCTACAATATGCCTCCTCTCATATTTAAATGTGCGTCCCGATGAAAGCCGAGGGGAAAAGGCTCCTGCCAATACAGTGTAGTCTCAGACAAATGGTGACATTCGACTTTAATCAAATAGTTTATTCATGCCGAATTCATGCTGAGAGATTGCACAAAACCAGCCACAAAGCAGCTTTTCAAAAGTGCTGACTTTCATGAATGGACTGAGGCAAATATTTTAACACTATTGAAAGACTAATTACTTTTCTATAGAGCTGTTAAACATCTGAGGAATTGTGCCATGTGATTGATATATTTATTTGTTTTCTTTTTAGCCGAGTCGTAGAGCTGATAGAAATCAATCTGAATGAAGTGGCTGCTCTGTATCAGAGCAAAAAGTGAACAAATCTGATGGTATTATCAATCTTAGTCAGGCATTAGTACAACCCTCTAGAATAAAAATGTAAGACTTGAGACATTGAAAGAATGCTTTGACAGTTCAGCTTTTTGAAAATCCAGCAGAAACATATTTTGTGTTCTATTCTTCACCATATTCTCGATTTTAGACTTTTGTTTAGGTTTATGACTTTGTTCGCTTCTATATACTTACGTGTAGCAATGCAAGGGTTGAATCATAGCTGTCCATGCCTGTACACTGTCAGCTGTTTGGTGGCTTGGCATCATGAATGAAAACAGCTGGATTCAAATAGTACTGAAGGGTCTCCCCCTTGTGCGAGGCATCAAGCAAGGCACTTAACCTCTGCTTGCTCCGGGGGGCCCGCAGAATGTCTGTATGCCTGTGTGTTCTGACCCACCCCTTTACCTGTCACAGAAGAGAGAATGGCCATAAACATTCTGGGGTTTTATGTCAGAAAATGGATTACAGGGAAACCCACGATCAAGGCTGAAGTGTGGAAATTGCACTTTTGGTCTTCAAACAGTTGTTGCAACAAAAAGATACTTTCAGAAGGGCATAGTAAATGGTATTATACTTTATTAGCTGCTCTGCTTTGTGCGTCACTGGCTGTGCTGTTGAATAAGGTTTGACAACTGTCTTTGCATTCATATTGACACTGATCTATAAATAGAATGCTTATTCATTTTAATGCTGTGACCTGACTCAGGTAAGCATTATCTACAGTGACACCCGCTGACAACTTGTCATGTTATAGTTGCACCTCCCCTAGCCAGCAAATGAATATTTGCTATCTGAGTGCAAAGTCTTTCAGACGAAAATGCCCTGATAGGATGGGCAGCAGTTTGGACTTTGACAAAACACACACAAATCTGTTAGCTGTTTACCCTTTTTGAATGTATTCACCAAGGTGATATGGTTCCCGCAGTAACAGGAAGTAGTATTTCCTGCTGTAGAAGCTTCTTGTTCTATCTTAACTCTATCAGGACATGGATTAAGTACATACTGGCTGCTACAACAAGATAAGAATGTATTTTCCCAATGCTGCTATCCCATAATGCACGCTGACAACTTTTCA